ACATTCAGCTTACTTTCTAGCTTGCCAAGATATGCTGTTGTTGTGGTGTTAGCAGCAGGAGTGTATCGCTGTCTGGAGCTGGTGTGCTGAACCTGAGACAGCAGCAACGGTAGCAACAGTTTACGAGGCCACATCACAGCCAGCGCTGGTGACATTACTTGTTGTCTGCACTATATCATGGTGTTTGATTTCTCCAGAATGGCTTACCCACCTTTATTGAGCAGCCTTGAATATTATACTGCATGATGCAGACTCATAAAAGCTTTTATGGAAAAAAGGTCAAAATAAAAAGATCTGGGAGGCAATTTGTTTTGAATAATAAAGACAGGTTCTTGCCCTTTGGATTGTTAAAGGAGAAAGATTTTTTATTTTAAATATTTAATTTATTAAAATGCACACTTGTTAACTGTTTGTTTCATATTAAACTAAAAAAAATGAAGGTATTTTCAGTTTTTAACTGTTGTGTGAATTGTGAGTTGGTTAAAATGCACCAACTGACAGTGAAGAGCAAAACACATGTAAACATTTAAAACAAACAGAAATTTGCACTTCACATCTTCCAGCCGTGTTGTTTATCTACAGTCTCATAACAGTAATGGTTACTCTCCAAAAAGAGATGATTTATTCAGAGATTAGATTATTTAAGAGATTACAAGTGACTTTCTGAACTGGTGTAGCAGCAGTTTTAAGCCACAAAAGTCTGTCATCCGTTTGCGGTTGTTCTGGCTGATATTACCAACCTCTGAAAGTTAAAAGGCTTTGTGAAAGTCCATAATCACTCTAAAAAACCAAAAAAAAGCAGTGACGTGTATAATTGTAATTAGTGATATCCTGTGGTGTGTTCTTGTTAGATTACTTGTATCAGTCATTTGTCAGCACCGGGCTTAAAGCCGACTCTTAACTGACAGGTTGGGGAACCGGCGTTGACTCGACAGAACTGTAGCTGAAGAAATTGCAGAGAGCGATCAGTTAACATGACAAGATCAGTGTCAGACTTGAAGACTGACATCAGATACATAACTGCACAATAATACACGGGAACTGTGTGGGGATCGTTTGTGAGTGACACTTGCCAGTCTTTTGTAATTTCAAGGACTTTTCAAGCATATTTTAAAATGAAGGGCCAATAATTCACACAAATTAATGTAGCACAGTATACAAGGCTTGAATGGTTTGCCATAATTAGACGGCAGTAGAAATTTTACAGACACTGAGAACAAGGCTGGGCGATAAAGCTGAAAAATTTATCACGTTTTTTTTTTAATGTCAGTCGATATCGATAATTATTGATCATTTGTAATGGCTTTGAATTGAACCATTTTATTTATAAAGACACACAGGTAATATGCTGCCCAAAGGGTGGAAGCAGCTATGGTGAGTCACTCACAGCTGCTCCATTGTCAAGGGATATGATAGGCTGTTTATGAGCCGGGGTGTTTTCTATCTGTGTAGGGATGCACCGATATATCGGCCACACATCGGTATCAGCTGATATTCGCCTTGTTGACCGACTTCGGCCTATTGGCAAGTAAGATGTAAGTAATATATCACTAGCTGATGTTTATCAATTTTGCACTGGCTACATTTTGTGTTTGTTATTTATTTGCACTGGCACAAACAAATACCGATGTGCTCTATGCAGCAGCACTAACAGTACCCCCGCTATAAAGTACTACACCGGCTGACTGAAGATAGTGAAGCTTGGTCCAGTCAACGAGATGTATGAAAGTTGCATCATAGGTGAATTCTGAGGCGAGGGAGCTTACAGTACTGATCTGGTAGGCTAAATCCAAGCACTTTTAAAAGGTCTTCTTCCGTAACCCTACTTTAATAAGCAAATAATTGAGAAAAAGCAAAAACTAACACACCGTTTGTAAAGTTTTGCATTAAAAATGAAATGTTTCGACACATGGGATTAAATATTTTCATGATGTAATGCACTGTGTCCCAGATGCATGAGTGCAGAGCCATGAAATCCCCGAGCGCTCGGTGACACACTGATCACATGGACACGTTAAAACAATCACATTACTGGTGAATCACACAAACTGCTGACGAGTGACGTCGCAATAAAAACAGAAAAGCTGTCTGTGACGGATTGTGATCATCACCAAAAAAAATTTATTCTTACACAAGATTGGCAGTTCAGGTTTAATTTAATAATAAAAAAAGCCCAGACTACATAAGACACATCCGGTCACATCATATAGATCTATAAGCCGGTATATATATAAATTCAGTTCAAGAGGGAAAACATTCACTGCTGCTCCGCTTGTGAAGTCAATGCACAGCCTCACAGCTACTCATTACAATTACATTATCAGACCGCCATGACATTTTATATCAAATAACACCATGATGCATTGCATTTCCCCCGAGAGACGGCACAATATTATATTAGGGAAGAGCGGCTCTCTTGTCAGGTAATATTATTTACCGAGTCATCGTTGCTTTTGAGAAGTTGACACCCGAGCTGCTAGACTTTCTGCTCTCCACCGAACGCCAGAGCCGACCACATGAGCCGTATAAGAGTAGCTAGTTTAATGTAACCTAACACAGGTTATAGACCTTTCTCACAGCAGCCAGTTGGACATGAAATAGGGTAAACACAGGTGTCACCAATGATACTAATTAAGGTTCGGTTCCATTAAGGTCAAACAGAGTCAGGGTGCTGCTATTGTGCACATTGGCTCACTGGAGAGGCTCTGATACACTAAATAAGACAGAAACCTAATTAGTATCATTCATAACAACTGTGTTTACCCTACTATTTCATGTCCAACTGGCTGCTGTGAGAAAGGTCTATAAACCTGATAAACTGGTAATTCAGTGTACAGTAAAAATCCACAATTTAAATTGCACACTTAACATTATCTGACGGGAAGTGGAAAACAAATACATAATAAATACACATTTTTATCCTCATCTCTTCTGGAGCGAGTGCAGTTATTTCTCAGTTCAACTGTATCTATTTCATACTTACACACTCTGAAATGTTAATGATTTTGACATTCAACCAAACAGCAAGACACACCAAGACCCCTCTAATGCCCACAGGAGAGAAGTGTGCATGGTTAGTTGTTACGACACGTCAGCAGCCGTAAATCTGTTTAAAGATGTTACTGAGAACGCAAGCAAGCATTGTTTTCCATTCATTTAACTTTCACCACAGAGATTATGATTTTTCCCATTTAAATTATTATTTTTTTTAAAGAGCAGCAGAGTGACAACTGACACTGACATAGTTAAGTTGCAGAAAATATTAAAATAGCCAATAAATAAAGTCCCATTTGTGAAAATATCTTAATATTTGCCACAGGAATGACACTTCAGTCAGTCCCATGAAGTCTATAATCAGAACGGCATCAATAGAAACAGTGTGCTGATCAGAAATTACAGATTTCATGATTAATTAAACAAAATCGAATTGTACTAAAAGACTAAAAATGGACAAATTAAGATTCATGGACGGTTACTGCTTGTGACATCGAACTTGTGGGCGTGTGAGTGAGTGATTCATGCAGCCCGAGTCAGACCTTCAGCTCAGGGCTGGATAGAGTAATTAACTTGATACCTTTCCACAAAAACAATTAATGTAAGAGTTGCACAGAGTGGCAGGTAGGAGAGGTAATTCAGTGAATGAGTTAGCGGAGATTGTGACCAGGGCTTAGGGATGGGACAACATTTACACACTGAATTTCCATTGAATCGTGAATATGTTTACATGACTTGACTTGAAAAAGCTGTCTCGCTCGCCAGCATACAGTCTAACAGATTTATTTTGAACAAGGGGACAAAGGAGCCCACATCTTTCCAGTCATTCCACAATCCTCAGCCTGTCACCATGGCTCAAGGTCCGACTTGTCGCTGTACCCCCCCACAAAAAAACTGTAAAACCAGATGTCTGGAAATAGTTTAGATTCCAAAATAAAGAACAGGGAGAGGTGGTGCCTACCTGTGCTGCAGTAAATATATTAATATAATATATATTCCTAACAACATGTAAGATAAAGTGATAACAGTATGTTTTAGTGCCATTTAAAAAGCTATATTTTCATGATTACCGCGATAATATTATGGTTTTAAGTATTAAGTATTAAGGTTTGTAGTTCAGGCAGGTGTAATGTTATTTTGTGACGCATTTGAGCTTTATAAAAGCCTGATATTGCACCTGCACATCACGATATCGATAATATCTCGATTAATTGTGCAGCCCTATTTGTGACTCCTCTTAATGGTTCACTGGCACATCACTACCTGCTGCTTACAGTGAAACTAGCAGGATTTTGCTCTTGCTGGAGAGTGCAAAAAGCCAATACAGAAAATATAGGGATGTGTTTATTTTCAGGAAGTTCCCGCCCCATCATGTTGGCATTAAACTTCAGCATCCTTAAAAATCACTAAAACATCAATATTAATGACTGTAAAAATCACAGCGAGCCCAAACTACATACACAAAACAAATAAAACTGCCGCTGCAGGTCCCCCCCTCCTGTGCCCTTTAACTCCACCCACCTTGGCTGTCTGTCTGTCTGTCTGTCTGTCTGTCTCTCTGCCTGTCTGTCTGTCCGCTGACTTGCCGGTGTTGTATTCCTGTTAGCCACACACTGCTAGTTAGCTTAGCGTTTAGCAACCTACACTAAACGCGCCGCTGTACCGCCGCAGAGTATCTCTACCTCTGTTTTTCACTGTTCAAACTTCAACGCCGGTCGACTATGGCCACAGCCACAGTGTCGTGTGATCTTCGGGTCCGTGTGTTTCTGGCTCATTCACCACATGCTGTGCTACGTTAGCGCCGTTAGCATCACTTCACGGGACCGACTGGTGACGAGCTCCCTTTATATGTGTCGGCTCCGTTACTGCGCAGGCGCACAGGAGGGGTTTTTTTTTTTTTTAACTTTATTAAGCGTCTTTAAATAAACAATCACGCAGTCAATGGACGTTAAGAAAACCTAACAATTAATGAAAGCAGCTTAACAGAGAAGAGAGAAATATATATAATATAAGATACATTTAATTAACTTTAAATGGAGTATTAGGGCCA